TGTTAATTAGTAGTGAAAAGGAAGTAAGAGACTATAGCAAACTGAGGCTGAGAATGATTCTTGTTTAACCACAGAACTTGTAAACTATAAAAACTTTTAACAGCGTAAACTGTCTTGTAACATAATTTGCTACAGCTGCCTTTTCCTGTCATTACCAACTAATTCGATAAAAAGAGGGGACATGATAGCATTTTTTGTTTGGCAAAGCAGAATCTAGAAAATGCTATCTAAGCTATCTAAAAAGCTATCTAACTGGAGTTAGAATTTATAATGAGGGAGTAATTTAGGAGATCACTTAATCCAGCCTTAATCACTTAATTCAAAGGAGAGCTGACTTCAAAGTTGGACAGCTCAAGACTTTGTACAAGTTATGAATATCTGCAGGGATAGAGACCGCATAGCCTCTCTAGGTGCCCAGCCCCAGTTGTTGTGAAAACTTCTCTGTATCTGACTAGAATTTCCCTTGCTAGAGCTTGACTGCTCTGTCTCTTCTCGCTGTGTGCAACTTTGTGAATGATGATGCTCTGCCTTCTGTAACTGCTCCTTTAGGTAGCTGAAGCGAGCAATAGGTTCCTTCTCACTTGCCCTCTTGTTTCTAGGCTGAACAAACCCAGCCCCTTCAATTTGTGCTGTAGCTCTGGGAATATCTCATTCGCCCACCACTGGACTCACTCCAATTTCTCACTTTAGTAGCAATGTAATATATTTTAATAGAAAGAGAAGCATTTTTTTAAATGAACCTTGATTCTCTGTTTGCAGAAAGTCCGCTTTTGTTTCCCTACTATCCTGAGAAATCACTGCATTTTGTCAAAAAGCAAATGGAAGGAGTCATTGATCAGTGTTTACAAAAGCCAGCTGTAAGTTCGATTTACATAAATGGTAACTTTCTCTTAGGGGTAGCAGCCAACTGAAGATAGTAGCCAGACTTAGCAAGGCCTGAAGTTTTAATCTTTGCCGTTAAGTGGCTATAACCTAGGTAGCAGCATGCATTCCAGCTTCACTGCTGGGTGTCTTAAACCTTTGGCTGGGAAGAGCATAATGGGGGATTTCTTGTTTTGTGTTTTCTGTGCATTCTGTTTGCCATGTGCATTAATGAGAGCTGTTTTAATATTAATTAACTCAATGTATGCACTGTAGATTAGAAAGCTGATTAATTGGCAATACATTAATCTGTATTCCAATATAAATATTGGTGGATTTTTCTTTCAAATATACTAGGGTTTTATTATTGTTTATATATTAATTTATTTAATGGTCTTAAGAAGGAAAATGATTGTGAATAATTGTCTGTATTTTTTGGTCTGTTTTCATTATATTTGTTAGGATGTGATTGGAAAGTCAGTGCGTCAGGCATTCTGCATGTCTCTTTACAAAACTTCTCAAAGGTATTTTTCTACATTTTTTGTAAAGTTCAGTTGCACAAAATTCTAATAGTATTTTACATGCTGGTTTTGTTTTTCCTTTTCAGTGAAGATTCCGCACCTCAATTATTTAAACTACCATTTTTGTAAGTATGCTGCTATTTCTTGCTATATGTCATTTAACAGTTATTAAAATGTGATCTGACTTTTCCCATTTTCTCCCCCACTGTTATAGGTGGAATGACAAAGCATCCAATATACATTATGTGCTCTTCACTATATTAGAAAGTTCTATTTCAAAGATATACATTTTGAGGAGACATACAGATACTTCCAGGTAAGAAAAAAAGAAGAAAAATGGTTTGTGAGATTTAGCATCTGTATAGAGACAATTACAACTTGCCCTAACACTGGAAGTTGCCCCATTATTGGAAGTGCTCAGGAACAGGCTGGATGGGGCTTGGAGCAACCTGGAGTAGTGGGAGGTGTCCCTGCCCATGGCAGGGGGGTTGGAACTGGGCGATCTTTAAGGTCTCTTCCAACCCAAACCATTCTGTGATTGTATGAACTATGACTCCCATTTGTTTTGCTTCTCACAGAATTACTTGCTGTTAACTAAGAAAGCTTACAGGGAATGATGAGGCTTTCAGTGTTGTTCTGTCTTACCATAAATATTCTTTAGTTAACTCTTTATAGCATGTGATTAAAGATAGTAGGGAAAAATAGGGGTGTTGGACTCATAGCTTCAACTAATAGAATACATCTCCTTGGAATGTGGTGTTGGGCACCTTCAGGAGTTTCTGTACCCAAGATACAGTTTGTCACTGCCTAGTGGTGCTGGTGTAGTTGTTTAAGGTACAGTCTGTCAGTGGAACCACTGAAATGCCCAGGGTTTAGAAAACAACAAAAACTTTCTCTCCATAAAATACTGACTTTTATAATCTGTGTCATTTAATTTGAGGAGATGACAGGGTGAGAATTTTTAAAAACATTTCTACAGCTGAAGAAAGCACATGATGAAGCTATCCTCAGTGTTTCCAGCTGAGAGCTTCTGATGACAAAATTATAGCCTTGTGGTGTAGTTTCCATCCTATTTCCTCCCTCATTGGTATCTTGGACAGCCTGAACTCATTTTCTATAGATTTGAGAAACAAGTAACTTAATGGACCTGGGACTGAAACAGTTGAGCCAAGACTTCAGACACAAACTGTATCCCACAGGCCAACTGCAGTTTCTCATTTGACTCCATTAGTCACGTTTTGCTGAGGGGCAGAAGAAATCAAAAGGTTCGCGTCCACCAGTTATATCATTTTGGGATTTAGCCATGTGTTGTGCTAAGCTTAGACAGGCTTACATCCTCTCTTACTACAGCTGCTATTAGAGATTTTGTATTTTCTACAAGTGGAAAAGGAGTGTCACCAAGATAATGATCTCTGTCCTTTTAGGTCTGTCAGTAATGGAATTCTTGCAGTAGAGTTTGGAAACTTTCTGAACAACAGTATAAATGAGAGCTCAGACTCCAGGTCAGTATATTTAGTTGATTTTTCTTCCAGAGTTGCACACTGCTGAATTAAAGATCATGTGTTCCGGTGTTTATTTTACATGAGGTTACCTTACAAGTTATAATTTGGCTTTTATCCTGCAGATTAGTATTTGGGATGCCAGACTAGCTTGTAGTTCCTGAGTGAGTCAGGCCATAAGACAGGTGCCATGTCCGCATGTCTCTTAATACCTCCAGAGATGGGGTCTCCACCACTTCCCTCGGCAGCCTGTCCCAGTGCTTAACCACCTTCTCTGTGAAGAAATTCTTCCTAATATTCAATTTAACCTCCCCTGGTGCATCTTGAGACCATTGAGTTATTTTGTTCTTAAGCTCAATAAATTCTTTAGTTTTCTGGTTGAAAACTAGAGCTTTAGCACATGTGCTGGAAACAAAGCTAATTGGAAACAGCTCTTGCTTATATCTGCAATCTTCTTAAAGTAAGATAGAGTGGGAGGTATCTCAGAAGATGTGGCAGGCTAAGTTAATGCTTTTAATGTAGAAAGGCCAAATGTGGTGGCTCTCAGTACCTTCAGCTGTGTTTTGAAGTTATCCTTGGTGTTTGTGTTAACTGTTTCTTACATTTCAACTGAAATGGGAAGAAATAAGATTGCTAGTAATGTCCTTCAGTGGCATTTGTCCTGTATCTTACAGGAGTTTTTAGCAGTCTTTCAGTGTCTTAGCTGTAAGTCTGACTTTTTTATTTGCAGTAAAGCTCCCTGTTAACTACTGAATAGTTGATGTGAGTGCTTTGCACTCACTTTTATTCCTTGATGCTTTCTAAAATATAAGCGCTGTTTTATTTCTATAGATGCTACAGTTGTTTAGATGCACATTTCTATGATGATGAAACTGTAACTGTAGTTCTGAAGGAGAGTGTGGAACAAGAGGGGAAGGAGAGAATCTTGGCTCAGCTGCCTTTATCTTCAGTATACACAGATGAGGACCAAGAAGGGGAATTCATCTGGGATTCTACTAAAAGGTACTGAAAAACTTTGAAAACTAAAAATGCAGAACTGAAAAGCAGATAAAGCAAATATTCTAATTGTGTACTCCATGTATGTAAATATTTTAAAGGGAAAAACTCTTTATGTGCTAGAGAAGGTGTGGTGAAGGACTGAAGTTTCATAAACAGTTTGTTTCATGGGCTTTGTTTTGTTTTAGTTTTGTTTGTTTTTTTGGACAGAATACTACCTGTGCACTTGGTTCTACATTGACAAAATCAGAGGAACGATTCAAGGCATCTTGTAGAAGCAGAAATCTTACTTGTTTTCTGAAGTGGATGCTAACTTTGCTGGTCAGAATACTGAGTTTAGGATGTTTTCAGTGTATTTGCTTATCTGCCTCTGCCTTGTAACAGACACATTTTATTTTTTTTTCGTCTTTCCCCTGGTAGTCACACTTAGAGCTGTTGTCAGCTTATCATTGAAACATGAGTTGATGGTTCTTCTCCCTGTGTTGGTACAGGAGGGAGAGAAGAGCATCTGGGGAAAGTGCACACAGAAAAAAAGCCATCATAGTTTGAGTGGTGAATCCAAGCTTTTAATTGTTGTGCCTCATTTGCTTTTTCTTGTTGTTCCATGTGCCTTTCTGGTGGATGGATTAAGATATATTAATGGCTCAAAACAAAGAGCTCTACTGCTCTGTAGATTCTTTTTTTATGCCACAAAGAAATTTATATTAAAGAACAAACAGACAGTATTAAAAACCAGTATGAACTAATCGTGGCCACTGCAATAGGGAGTTCCTTCATACGGTCCCTATGAGTGGGAGTGAACAGATAGTTTGGCTAAGGTCATGGAGGCCAAACTTCTGTGTAAGTGGAATATTGCCTCCAGGACTTCGTTTGGAAACACTTCTTGCAGAGGAGGGGTTTGAAGGAAGCCCAAGCTCAGTTTCTTGCTATAGCTGTTATCTGTGGCTAGATGGGACTCTACAACTCCCTCTTGTTCTGTTGTAATCTTTTGCCTCAGTTGAAACATGCAGTGTCTCCTCTGTTGGATCCTCTCCTGCAGAGTATCTGGAGTATCTAGAGTCGTGGGTTTATCTGTTTGCTGCATATGGTATAATACAAAATAGACCAAAGTCAAAAAAAAAAAGGGATTCACAGAGAATTTTTTTATTATTATTATTATTTTTTTACTGGAATTTCCTTTGTACTAGTTCTGTGCTTCTCTTCTTGCAGACTGGAGGAGCAGAGTGGTGAGATACCCACACGCACCGTCTTCTTGGAGAACCAGTGGAGAGTGCTGGAGAATATGAAAGCTCAGTATGTTGCTGTAAATGGCATTCGAAAAGTTTCCTGTGTGGTAAGTACAGTATCTGTGAACAAGCCTGTAAAAAATTAAAGGAAATATACTGTGACTAGAGAGGGTGATAACCTGTTTCTGGTAGTTTATTGAGGTTTATCAAGATTCTGATTTTTATCACTATTTACATATTGATTATTCTGTTAGTCTGTTATGAATGTGTCAGGATACAATCGTACCTGTCTCATAACACAACCAGGAAAAACCTTTAATGGAAGTTAATAGATGAACTAGTTTTACTTTTCAGCCTGCAGAGCAATAAAACAGTTGCCAATTTCCTTGATACCTCCATTTCAAAGATAAAGGCTATTTTCAGGCCCGTTGGGCAACACTTAAATTGGTATTGGTGCTTTCATTTATTAATTGAAACTCCTTCATGTTCCCATAGCTAAGTTCAAATCTCCGTCACGTGAGGGTGTTTGAGATGGATGTAGAGGATGATGGGGAAGTTGAGGAAGAGGAGGAAGAAGAAATAACTCAGACTGCAGCTGGGGAACCTGAAGAGCTGAATCAGTCTGCAGATAACCAAGAAAGTGTCTGTGGTGCATCTGCTGAAGAACTACCTGATGAAACAGAAGAACATGAAACAAACCTGGAGCCTTGATAGAGACTCTGATACTGATAAAGGGACAAGACTGAAATCTGCCTTTAGGCTGCTGAGATGATGTCTCCTACACGCTCTGCAGCATTAACATGTTGCTGGGTGTCAATTCTGTATCACTTCTCTCACTTCTCAGCTAAGACCATTCGAGTTCAAGAGTATACTTACTTTGTTGTTGTTGTTGTTGTTGTTTTTTGTTGTTTTTTTTTTTACCTGACACATTGACTTGGTAGGAACTACATTTCTTTGAGAGTTTTCCGTGCGAAGCTTTTTATAGGTGGGGAGAAAAAGAAATGCCAACTAAAGTTTTATATTTAATCTGATCAGTCCTGAATAAATGAAGATAAAATGAACATGTGTGTGAAAACAACAAAACCCCAAGTTTTAAGGACCAAAATCTTTCCCTGTCAGACTTCATGTTCTACTAATGGGTACAGAGGCTTCTTGTAAAGATAAAATTTAAGTGTGTGTATGGCCAGCAACAGGCTTCCAGATCAGTATAAAAATAGTGGGCTACCAAAAGTTAGCAACTCTTACTTAAATACATACTTTAAAAATTATTCTGATAAAAATCTGTCCTCAGTAACACAGTATTTGTTCAGTTTGCAGTTCTTTGGTGTGTTTATGTTTTGTCAGATGTCTCAGCCCCCTGGTTTATATGAGATTGCTCCAGTCTTTCTCCTCCACCTGGTATTTTTGTAATGAAAAGTTGCAACAGAGGTTATTTTTGTTTGTTTTTATTATTCTGATGTGGTGCTGTGGGTCACTGTTGTGTTTTTTTTAAGTGAACTTTCTGATGTTTTGGACTGATTGTTTGGGGACACCTTTCTAAATAATCTGTTTAACTTAGAAAGCGACTTCTTATTTTTAATTTTCCTTAGCAGCCTCCTTGAAAGCTGCTGGTTGTTCAGTGTTCTCATCTAACAATGGCTGAAGGCACAAGGAAGCCGTAGGCCAGCAGGAGCAGGAATGTCCATTCAGGTGTTCTGTGAGAAATGCAACTACAGAACCAACCCAGCTCAAGTTTGCCCTTTTGTTCTTCCAGGAAACTTTTGCCTCTGTTCTTTCTTTAAGAGTTGGCACGCTGGAGTGCTTGGAAACAATTATTTTGCTATATTTTCTGCTGAGTATCTTTAGTCTGCCCACATATGAAAATGTGATCTGCCCTGCCTGTAATTGTTTCTAAATTTGTGTTAATAATAGCTGTGTGCCATTTCACAGGGGCATGCTCTTTTGCAATCTCCCTGGGGTTATTCTGTGCACCTTTCTAGTCCGGTCTTGGATGTACTTGAGTCAATGGGAGTTTTGTTTCAGGCTTGAATAAGTACATATGTACTTGCTGCATTTCCCAGTGACACAGTACAAAAGCAGCAGTTTAGGTCAGTGCTACTGAATATATTGCCAGTTCCTTCTGTCAAACTTTGTCTTAATTTTGCTACCTGATTTTTGTGACAGTAAATATTAGTAATGTGCGTTGGTAATGTGCTTATGCATCTTTTTTTCAAAGGGAAGCAATTGATCTTGAAGTTTTTGAGGATTTTGGTGGTGTCTGAACGTGGTGAATTTACTTTCCACATAGATCTCTTCTTCATCCTCCTTTTTTAATGCTAACTGAAGGCTCATTCAGCCCTTTTCTGCTGTTAATGATTTCTCATTCTTGGTAGTATAGTAAAAAAAAATATGTATATTTTTCAGCAAATATGCCCCCAGTTTGCTCTTTATAATACTAATCTTTAGGTTTCTAACAGTCAACTACTGCCTTTTTTCTAAAGTCTGCCTGGTTTGCATGGTTTTTTTTTTTTGTTTGTTTGTTTTTTTAATTTTTGTCAGCTTTTATTTTTCAGCCGCTCATCTCGTGTAGTCCCTTTTTCAGACTTTTTGTCCATGGCTTTTCTGCCTGGTCTCTGTGACACGCAAATTTAGCACATTGCCAAGTTTTTGCTTCAGTCTTTCCCCAGTTAGTGCTACTTTGCTTCATGGTCTGGGCATGCTGTGATCTGTCTGTGGTACCGTTGCCTCCCACTTCTGAGGATTTGATTGCCCACTCACATCTGTCTTTATAAATAGGCACCTGAGCCGCTCTCAAAGACAGGAAGTAAATGGCGAGAAATAGTGAATGTAGGCTTGCTCTACTTAACTGTTCCTTTTTGCAGAGGGGAAAAGAGATGTGTATTTCTCTAACAATACCTGCAGTTGGTCCTGAGGCTTCTTGCTTTGAAAAACTCACTGCAGGCTGTTTTGCATTTGTTTAAGCCCCTATGTAAGCCTCAACAAAAAGGGAAAGCCATCTAGGTGAGTACTTAAGTTCTTTAGGAAGTTTCTGTGGCCTGAGTTAATATCTGTAGTCAGAGTTGGCCCGTGTGTCATCAGATACTGCAGTGATATCGGAGATCTCTTGCTTTTGCAGTTTAATCCAATTTTTTGCATCACAAACTGCTTTAGCAGAAGTGCCAGCTTAGCTCACACCATGGAGCAATGGTAGCAGCCTAAGAAGGACATTCTGGAGAGGGAAATGAAGACTTCAGCATGAATTCCTTCAGAAGGAGGTGCATAGGAATGAGAGAGGATGAAAGGGGTGGTCATAGGGCGAGTTTCATGAGAAGAGATGCAAAATGGCATAAGGATCTCTGTGGAGAATACCACTGTGGAAGAATTCTAAGAAAAAAAGAAAAAAAAACTCTGGAAGTAGAAGAGAAGAAATGCCACTTGTAGGTGAATAAAATGCATTTAGCTGTACCTTTTGGTTGAGTAATAGAGCTGCTAGCAAATCAGGAGGCGACTGGTGCCAGCAAAGCCCAGTGCTGAAGTAGGTTATAATGGGATATAAATGTTGTGTCGGTGTTCTGGCATTCTTCCCCCAGGGGGTATTATACGCTGCTGCTCCTGTCTGGCTGTTTTACAGCTCGGTGCAAATGATGTAATCATGCCTACTACTGTGAATCAGAAGACCTTGGGTGGTGTTTTTTTTTCCCCCTCCAATTCCCACACCTTAACCTCGTAGATAAAGTAAAGAATCCTATCAGGTTTTGTTCTTACAGATCTCCCCAGGAGCCCTACCTCCTAGAGTGAGTCTAACATTGCAAAAAAAAAAAACAAACAAAAAACTTAGGACCTAGTATAGGAAGTAAAAGACTCAGTTTTTAAATCCGTACTGTTATATGGATTACTGTCATGTAAAGGAAATTCAGTCCCACCCCAGCAGAGCTCATGCATGTTGAATCTGGTGTTGGAGTTCCCTCGGTAATTTGCTTGGCTGAGAAATCTTTGATGTTCTGCAACCTGGATATCGAGGCACTTGCTAGCCACCTGAGAAAGTGAGGTTGGTTTGGAAGACCTTCCGAACTGGGAAAAGAAAAAAAAAAGACAAAAAAACAAAGCAAACAAACATCCCCACAACATCTTTCTCACTTGAGTGATTCTTATTCATGTTAGAGGCATATACATTTTCTCTGTGCCCTTCTTTATTAAACAAGTTACTCAAATAGAGACTGATTTTGCTCCTTATCATTCTCAAGAAAATTCATATATAAATTCTGTAATGAAGATGAACACTTACCCTAACGTACACTGAAAATCATTCTCTTAAACAACCACTACAGATAAGAATCGCAGGGCAAAGGTAAGGAATTTGTTCATCTGGTCACATATTTATTTTAGACTGTTGAAGTAACCTACGGTTTCCTGAGGATAGCAAAAGGCAGGTGCTTTCAAACGTGATCATCTGAAGAAAATAAAGTTTGTCTCTCTGTTTGTTGAATTAACAATATTCCCTTTATGGTGGAATCCTAGTAGACTAGAAGCAAACGGACAATGCTCTGTGCTTTGTCTTTTAGAAATGAGTTGTATTTGTTACTGTCCCCTCTCCCACAGCTGGTCTGTATTGTGCTCGGTGCTCCAACTACTTAGCTTGTCTTCAGGATATTGAAATGCAGGAGGAAGATGGAAGGTATCAGCAGGCACTGTGATTTCCTGACAATGTGGATTAATTTTGAGATGATGTTATTTTGATCAGTACCATGAAAATCAACATACTGTTTGCCCTAATTTCTAGTCACTTTATTTTTAAAAAAAGTATTAGGCCAGGAGAGTACTGGTCAGTAAAGCAGATAAGAATGGTAGATTTTTTTAATGCTTCTCTTGTCATGCCTAGAAATAAATATCTTCTAAATGGGTTTATTTTCTAGATCATTTTTCAATGTAGAGTAATCCTTTGAGAGACAGAACACAGCATGCATGTGATCTTGTTTAAAGGCTAATAAAGAAACTAACAGGAGATGGCCACCTGTTCATAACCTATGGTCAAATCATGGTTAGTTCAGTCCTTACCTTAAAATACTGTGTAGTTCTGCTGTGCAGTAAGCCAGTTTCTGTGCTTCATTCCACAAAGGATTACCATTTCTGCCCTTCTCTTCCATGGTTGGTGGTCACTGAAATTTTGGAGAATTGTAGTGCTAGGGTAGGTATGAATGGGAATGCCTGGGCGTGGAGGTGCCAGAAAGAACAAACAGCAGGGCTATAAGAATGGTATGTGCTGATGTCGCTCAGATTAGCTGTCTTCAAAGTCCTCGCATGCATCTACCTGCAGGTGGTCAGGAGGCAAAGGATCTGAGCAGATGAGCCAATCCTGATGGCTCTCAGAGGCAGGACAGAATGGACAGTGATTACAGAGTGATTATTGGGAACTCCTGAAGGATATAAAAAGGCCTATCCAAAGTCAGCACCGAGCTGCCACTCTGAGAAGAGCCCCAAGTCAAAAGAACCGAATAGCTGGTGTTCCCTGCCCCCTGTGTGGTCGCAAGGAGTCCTAGACAGACCTGGATTCAGGAGTCTCGGTGCCTGAATGTTGAACAGACTTCGTGGATACATGAATCCAGCCAGGTACTTGTGAGTACGTGAATATGAGGGTGTGAGTGTGGATGAACGAAATCAGCTTTGTTTTAAAATGAAATCAGCTTCCCTTCTTACACTGGATGACTTTAAGGTTTGCTGTGTGGCTGCTACAGTGCTGATTACTTAAATAATGGCAAGGAGGATGGATGTAGCCAGGTGGTTTTCAAAGACTGAAAGGATGGACCCAGTCTAAGGCGAATGAAAGTGGAGAGCAAGAACTGGGTGTAAAGCTTTTTTAGCAAGGCATCTGTTGAGATCTTTTTGGAAGAATAAATCAACATACCAGTCCAGAGTTCAGGGATATTTAGATTTTTCTGTGGTATCTGTTCATCACCTTGATGTCTGAATATAATTTAAAAGCAGGTTGCTCTGGGCCAAGTTCCATCTTTGATTATCCTGTAAAAGGTGACTGGAGGTTCGTGGATAGAACTGAAAGCGGGTGTTGTCCTTAAATTCCTGCTATCTTTTAACAAGGGTTAGCAAATTGTTTTTTTTTTTTTTTCTAGATCTGACCTACTTCTTGGTCTGGTGTCTCACCAGAGTTTATCACAGATTCTGGAAACTGTGGTCACACAGAGTTAATGATATCAAGACTTAAAATAAGCAGATAAAGAGAGTTCCTCATACTTGGAATCAATATCCAGACTACAGTAAAACAAAGCCAAACAAACAAAACAAAACAAACAAGGAAAAAAAAAAAAAAGCAGCTCTAACTGCTTCACTTGAAATTAAAAAAATACTGATGCTCCTAAAATGGTGCCTCCAAGTAACAAGTGACCAAGATGTTCAGATTCCTAACTGCTTTTTCACTTCTACCTATCTTCTGAGGTGAATCTCTGCTTAGTAGATGAAGTTCAGGGTTGGTCTCTGCCTTCTAACAGCAGCTGCTAATATGAAATCAGAAGTAACTTTATCACTGGGCTTTCATTTATCAGTTACTTCGCAGCCAGGTAATTTTCTTCCTTAAAAAAATAAATAATTGAGTATTGTTTGAACTGCAGGCAAATCTACAACATACTAGGTGTGCTGTGCTCCCAAGACAGTTTGTACCTGGGAGATATCAGTCTAGCAAGAGATAAAGAATACAGAACACAGGCAAGGCTCCCATTGTGTTCTCACCTGAACAGGTAAGTAAATTCACTGGAGAATTTACTTGCATTTTAGTCAATGGATGCAGATGGTGTTTGTGAGATTGGTGTATTGTGTGGAGGTTTCTAGGCTTGATTGCTGACAGCAATCAAGGGTGATCAGTGCACAATATAAGATTTCTAGGCCATTTTCTTGCTCTGATTCAAAATAACCCTGTTCAGCCTCATTTGTTCTCACAGGACATCTTTCTATTAAGAGTCTAATTAGAGGAAACCACATTTTAGAGGTGATAGGCTAGCAAAAGTGAGACCAAAGCAACAAATCTAGTTGGAATGTACCATGGATATAGTAGTCAACCTCCCCAAAGTGGGGGAAATAATTTTATTTTTCTACCCCTTCCTTTTTGATTTTTCAAATTTTATTTATTTATTTATCTATTTATCCTTTGCTTTGCCTTTGATCCCCTATCTGATCTTAAAAATGTCTAAGACTTACTCTTATCTGGATGTGGAGGCTTACCCCTTGAGGAGTTCTTAAAACATTTTTACCTCACCTGATGTGTAAGGTCTACATTTACTGCTCTCACCTTTTAACTGCATTCCTTTTGTATACTGCCTCGTTAGTTTCTAATTAGGTACAAGCCCCTGAGGGATTCTCTAAAAATCTAGTGACAGTATGAATTTGCTAAAAGCTACTTCACAGGCACAACCCTGCACTGAAAGAACAGCCTTCTACCTTTGGGGAGCTGCAGAAGGGAAGACCAGGGAAAGGTCTGTGTCCCTCTGCAAAATACACCCAGGCCAGACCCCAGATACTGTGTACACCTATGTCTTAAAATGCTTGCCTAAACCAGCAGGATCTTTTCTGTAATATTTTTCCTAGACATTCAGAATTGATTAGTTACTGTTACATACTGGCACCTGATGCATTTGGTTGCTTTGGCACCTGCAACAGCTGTGGATAACCCTCTTGTGAAACTCCTCGGAGCAGAAAACTGTTCTGATATGTAGAGAAAATGGTTGTCTTGCTAATGAGCTGTGAATCACTCCTGGTTCATCTGATGCATTGCTTCTATTGCCGGGAGCATGTTCCACTGCATGTGGAATGAGACTGGCTGTCTCATCCCGAAACCTAGGAACTGAAAAAAAAAATCGGTTGCCTGATGCTGAGAAATCATTAATTTCTCAGGATTTATATTCAGGGACTTTTGCCAGTGTTCCACAAGTACAAGGCTAATGATACCGCATTTTGATTTTACCCCTTCTCCTATCTATTGAGTTCTTACATAACTTTAAAAATAGAATGAATATTTTTCCACATAAAGGATCACTGTAGATGGCAGAGGTATCAAAATGATCACTTGTCTGATAACGGATGAGATAACTGTCTTACAAAGATGCAGTCTGTATTTTGGAGAAGTTACTGATGGTTGAGAGAAAGTAGGATCTAATTAAAGTCAAGGGATCTGGTGGCTCGCTTAGGAAGAATGATATGCTTGAAAGAGTTGGTTTGAGCTAGTTTTCAAGGGAGAGCAAGACTGAGATGACCAAAGAGTAAGCAATTTTAAACACATTGCAGCTGGAGGAGAGTGAAGAGATTTTCTGTTCCCATGGTGGATTAACAACTGATGGGCAGCTAAGCTCCACCGTGCTGCTCTCAGCCCCCCTTCTCAGAAGGACAGGGGCAGAAAATATGATGAAATTCAGCTTTTGTTCACAGCACACAGGATGGTCCTAAGCTCTGGGTCGTGGGTGGCACTTTGTAGCTATGGCTAAGCTGCTGCCCTCAGCCCCATAGCTTCGAATCTGTGATAGCGAGAGCCTGTGCTCACAAAGGAACTTCAGGCTATTCCTGAATGTTGGACTTTGATCATCTGAGAAGCTGCAGGTTACTGCTAGTGAACGAAGTAACCTGCTGCATGCTTCTGCAAATGCTTTTAACAGAAGCCTGTCTTCACTACTCATATTTCTCTCAGGAGGGAGTCCTGAACATCACTCCTAGAAGTGGCAGAATAACAGTCTTCTCCCATGGCTTGACACCGCACACATGCTTCTTTTTCTGCACCCTTTGTGCCTTGGGGAGATAGCTCAAGTGATTCATTCAAGTGATGATATTTTAAAACAAGTTGTTGAGTTGAGTTCAGAGAATTATAATTTCCAGTATAAAACCTGCCTTCTTCCACAAGGCTTCAAGGAGAACAAGCAATTCAGACAGAATCAGGTTTACTTTTCCAAAATCAGCACCTCACACCCTCATTTGAGTGTTTCCAGTTATGACAATATTTTATTTTGCCTTTGGATGTCTTGTGATTTGGAACATCTTAGGATGCTCAGAGTACAACATGAGAGCAACCTTATGGAGCTGTTCTGTGAATATTGTCTTTTTTCTTAAATCAGTTTGTTACCCATTATAATTTCGTTTGTGATCTAATCCTAAGGATTTAGCACATGTACTTTATCAGGTAATTTCATGGCTTCATTTTCAAATATAACTTTTCTAATTTATAGCAAACTGCTGTGACTATCTCATATCTCACAAATAAAGTATGAGTGGATGGAGGAAGGAGCTGAACAAGAGAAATTTAGGTGCTGTGTGGAATTCCACTGGTGTTTTATGGGGGTATAGGGATTTTTCCTGAGTGTCTTATGATTGACATGATTGCTTTGGCAGCTATATCGTCTGTCCAAGTTCTTTGTTATTGCTTTCTTCTTCATTATCATCACTTACAGAATGGGCTTTGTGATTGATCTATTTTTCCTTACCTGATCTGTTGCAAAGCCAGTGCTTATATCACTTTCTGTGCAGCACAGGCAGATCCAGGTGACATTGCTCACAAGAAATTTGCTGCTGCCCGTGCTTGTGTAGTGGTAGTAAACAGGCAGGGATGATGACCTCTTTGCTCCATTTAGGTTCACAAGAGGATGCCAATACTATGTCACTAAGGTATCAGCGCTGCCAAGTGATGCCAGTCGAGACTGTTTCCTAAAGCTCCCTCTCCCAGGACAGAGATTTGTTTTAAAGTCTGTGTCCTTGCCAAGCACAGTTTGACTTACCAGTGCTGTGTGTCAGCGCTTCAGCAGTATCTGAAAATGCCATCGCTTTGCGACACCTTGAGGTTAGAAAGTATTATTATTGTTTGTTTTTCAGGTTGAGAAGCAACTGTGGTTGGACATGGACCGTGCCATGCCACAACTTTCCTTGTCTTCTATTCTTCCAGCTGCTGGTTTGGTATAGCAGACTTCCACAGTGAAAGTCTGCTCCTCAAGCCAGCTCTTCATAAGAGGTGATTTGCCAGAGGTGAGCAGCCTAGAGAGAAACAGCTCTAGTGGAAATTTCTGCTGGGTCCTGCAATCAGAGCATTGGTTCCTGTTTGCTGGTCTAGTTTTTGGAGACTTTACACTTTTTCTATGATAACTATTTGACCCCAAGGCAAGCTTTGTAGTAATTTTTAGGAATGTTCCTTAATAACATACATAATTATTGTTAACACTTTAGGTTCTTAGCCTCTGATTCTTTTGCTTTGTTTTAGGAAAGAAAGACATTGCGTTCTTTGAAAACTGAAATTTAAAAATCTCAGCCCTCCTCCTACTTATCTAGAAGCTCTTTGAAAACATGGGGCAGATGCAAGGTGCTGTAGCTCCATAATATTAAAGGT